CTAAATTGCTGTTCCATAAGCTTGGAAGGCTGCTTAGCTGAGCTGTTGTATCAATATGGAGGCTCTACTCTCTTTCATAAAAGTACACAAATACACAATATTTTAGTGTCACTTTTTAGAACCAACTTGATGAAAAGGTGTTTGACTCTGTTGTTACTATCATTTTATGTGTTGATGTAAAATCATAGACTTAAGTTGACTTGCTGGAAAATGCTAGACATATCTTTTGTTTTTCCTTGGCATTTCTGATCCTCTTCGATTTTGAGCTCTTGTAATGAGCTCAAGTACCGTAGCTCATATTCCCTTGAAGTCTTTGTGAAACCTGCAGAGTTCCCTCTCTTTGAAATATGACATGGAAATTCTGTTTTCTAGTTGCTACTGTTGTTCCTTCATTTACTTTACATGATGAATCTTGACTATTATAAAGAGTAATGATGAACTATCTGGGTTAATTTTTTATTTGGGAAAGCCATAGCCAAAATATTGATAGATGTTGCAAAGTGATTAGCAAGCCATGTTACTGTTTTCTGGGTGATGGCAAGTTTAATAATATTCTTATTATTTGCTTTCTTGTGTTTTATCTCCTAAGCGTAGGAAGATTCTACCATCTGGAGTACACCCCTTCTTGGTGTCTCACAAGCATCTAGATTGATTTTTATCAAGACAGATCTATTAAGTAGTGTATGTTGGAAAGTGAATAGTCATTGCTGTTGTATCCAGAAGTGTCTGGCCTAAGACAGAATTTTTGTTCTTTATTCTGGGGTTTGCTAACGAAAGTAAAGAAATAATTCAAGTGGATACTGAATCGCCACTTATTTACACAGAGTGTTTTCTTCCTTTCCTAACTGGGAGCAGTGGAAGGAGAGCAATTTGAGATCCTTACTGGTTCATGTGGAATGTACACTACAAAGTACAACTCATTGTTATGCCTCTATCATTACATGGGACAAAATTTCCTGAGGCCATTGGAACTTAGGTGCATTGTTTCATTTATCTGCTTGGACCTGTTTAGACTGAAATTTAATTGTGGAATCTAAATTTTATATAGATTCCTTCACTTATACAGAAAACCTTAATATCACGTACTTTTTGCATCTTAGTGATGAGCTCTTTATAATCTTTTTGCCCATCAACCAAGAAGTTTTCACTACCTTTCTCCAATTTCTCTGCCTCATTCAAAAAGTCTTATTTCATGGGAAGATTCATCTATTCCAGGAAATCAGCTTTTTGATTATTTGATGGATCCCAGAATCTGATATCTTGCAAAGATCACATTTCTCAAGAAAACGCTGCACCTTGTGAAGGAAAGATTAAATGGTAATTTAATGGCAAGGTATTGCCTGTAGCCTTCTGTCTGCTTTGCCAAAGCCTCTCTGCAATGTCAGTTATGTTTTAGTGCACGATTCTAGGGGGAAATTATCTTACTGTTTGCACCGATATAATGCCTGAAGTACCTGAGTCAGAAAATGGCATTGAATTCCAAGCTTTCCTTGAGGTTTTGCCTGTTCTCTCTGCCACAGCCAGTACAGGGAACTGACTGCACTGTGAACAGGTTTGTGTTGGCGTTAAGCTCTCTTGAGAACATTTTCTGGTAGAAAGGAATAGGAATATTTAAAACGTACATGGGAGCCTCTTCAAAATGCTTTGCAGCTGTAGTTTGACAATATTACACAGACTGAAATGTTTGCTTATCAGAAAAGCTGAAATGTTTAAAGAACATTGATCTACATTTCTTGTCAGTTTACTGTCTCCATTGGCACAACATTTGGAAGGATTCTGATTTTATGAAATGGGAAGTGCCTCAGACTTGCATCTGCAGCGAATACTCTGTTACCTCTTCTTGGGCTTTGGAACAATAACTTCTTCCCACCTAAACACTTACAGAATGTGAAACATATGATAGATCTGTGCAAGTTGTTCCTATTTTCCACCTTATGTTATAATGGCAACTGCTGCCAATCGGCAAAATAAGGAAGTTTGGAAACAGCAAATTCCTGTGAATGCCACAGGCTTCCTTAATTTCCTTGAAGTAAGTGCAGGCACTGTTCAGTTGTTGACATTTTTCAAAGCTGAGATAGTTGTCAGTGTTACTGGCTCAAGATGTTTTAATTGCTTGTAGCAACTTTGTGTTTTCTTTATTGAGCTCTGCCAGGTCACATGCCTCATTTTCTGGCGCTTATCCAACCCTGTCCAGAAGTTATAAAGAAGGAGTCAGATGGAAAATTTCTATCAGAATGATGTTTTGGGTGTTCGGGTTTTTTTAAAGTGAAAGAAACATTCTTGTGATATTTTGCAGCCAGTTGAATCACTGAGCAAAGCCACAATAAGCAACAGAGTAGAATGTTAAGTTATGTATGTCTCAACAGCTGACTTTCTGTGAGAATCAGTACTGAACTGAATGTAGACACAGACATTTAGTCCTTTTCTATGGTTTCTTTGTATAACTTAATGTTACCATTTAAGATCATTGCTTCCTTTAATGCTGTGACACTGCAGTCTTGTTTGATCTCATTTGTGAGTGTCTTGTTGCAGAATAACCATGGTAATCTTACAGTAGTGAATGCTTAAGAAACTGATGAGGAAGCAATAATGCAATTGTTCCTAATTTTATTACAATAACTCTCCATAATCTGCAAAAAACACTGGCTGTTTCTTCCTGCTTCTCAGTAGAGATTTAAAAGCTAAGTGAGCTGCCATGTTACTTAAGACTTCATTATTTTTTACAAAGTATACTCCAGAGCATTTGCTAGAACATTATGAAGTATTATCATAAATGATTAAGCTGAACCATAATTGTCAAAATATGTGAAAAAAGCACATCTGGCAAGCCTGGTTTTTCACTCCCTAATTCATGACTCAGTAATTCACAATGGATCCTTCTGACAGTGCAAATAAGTAAGACTCTGTTGCAGGGTAGGTCTGTGGTTCCTCGGCTTCCTCTAACACTGCAGGCACTGCTTGCTCAGCCTACTCTATGGAAGCAGGGACCTGAGTTAGAAAAGTGTGACTGATGGAATTGGGGAAGCAGGCATGTAGACAAGCACAAAGCTTGTTGATAATCAAATCCAGTCTCATTCAGCCAGGCTTATGTAATAATATTTGTATATTGATTAGCATAACTCGTGGGGTTTTTTTGCACCTGCTGTTTCTATTCCTTTTTCCCATCTTGCTTATTAGGTAGTTACACTGTAATTTCCAGCCTAAACGTGTGTATGGCCAATTTATATCATTTGTTCCTGTGCCAACATCAACCGTTTGGTGAAATGGTTCTTTTTCCTTGCTGCTGGTTAGTTCTAGGATGGCAGAGAGCGGAAAACAGATAAAATTCTTCTCACCTTTCATTTTTCAAGGTTACGCAAAGATAGAGTCTCTTATTTTAAAATACATTTTAAATCTCTCAGGCATACTCGTAGTGCAGATTGAATTTCTTTTCCTTGGGTGCAATTGTACATGTTATTCCAGATGAGGCCTCACTAGTACTGTTAAATACCTCTCCTGATTTAACCTTTCACAACTCTATTGTACTACAGGCTTGTGATCATTTTGTGATTAGACAAATTTTTTTCTTGCATGTTTCCAAATAATGTAGTGTTACTGTAAACCTCCTACAGAAAGATTTTAATAATATGGCTACCAAAGAAAATATTTCATATAGATATTCTGTGGCAAGATTCTACAAGGAGGATGGCTGAAATGGGAGATTCCTAGTTCTCATTTGTGCTGAGTCTCTGAAACACTGTAATCACTCCCAGGGGAAATTTGCCTACCACAATTTTCCTTTCTCTTTCTATGAAGTTTATGGAAAGTTTTTTGGCAGAATTTTCCCTTATGATATTTAGCATTAAGATCTTTAGCTGTATCCATGCCTGACCGTGGGGGTCTTTAATGACCTGACAATTGTTATATTATGTTTCTCTAAAGTGATTCTGATCACAGAAGGTTCTGTGCTTTCCTGTTTTTTTCCTATTTCTTCACAGTATTGTTACATAGGGTCACTCTGCTACCATTTTGTGTTTGCTGATTCTTGTGATACACTTAACAATTGCTGTTCTTCCATGTGGTGGATATCTCTGTTTCATGTTCTTTCTTGAGGCTGTCCTCATCTGGCTGACCAAGATCCTTGTTTTAACATACTAATTTTTTTTTATATATTTTTTTTTTTGCTGGTTCTTTCCTGGTTAACACCAGTTAGGTCCTCAGCTACATTGACCCAGATCAACTTTATTGTCTTAGTATCTCTTCTGCTGTTCCTTTACTTGTCAACCTCTTCCATCCCTTTTCACTTTTAAAAAGAAAGTTCAAAGCAGGATACATTTTTCCTGATTACAGATCTCCTTATTTTGGTTTTCTGCACAGTTCCACTGGCAATGTGGCGGTTGGTTAGTATTTGTAAAGCATTTTGTAAACCTTAAGAGTGTATAAATGTGGTTGTTCCATTTGAATAACTTTTGCTAGATAGAAGCAGAAGCTGGATATAACTACTTGACTCCTTAGGGGGTGGAACAAAATTATGTACTGTATATGCTAAGGTTCACCTCTTCACCTTTCAAAGACTGTATGAGATAGTACTGAAGAGGTGTGGTTGAAAGAGTCACGAAGTTGCCTTATGGAATCTGCATCCTCAACAACATTTTTGCTAAGGTGAGCTATATTGCTGCATCTGTTGATATGATCCCCTGCTTTAACTGTAGGATACGAGGTGAACATACTTGGGTTTTCTCAGTCTCTCTGGAGGGGACACAGCTGAGAAATCTCACACCACATGAAGCTGTCATCACTGCTCTGCCTAGAGAGCCTGTGCTCGAGCTCCCAGCCCAATCTAACAATACACGAGTGTGTGTTGCTAAGCAGTACAGTTAGGCATGTTACGTACAGAGGGGGGCAGTGGGGATTCAGCAGCAAGCTTAAATTATCATTTTTGAGCAACTGAATAAAAACTTGGCCTGGAAAGAATTGAGTATTTGAAGACTTCAAATAACTCTTTTTTTTACCTTTTGTGTTCATTGTTGATACTGTGAGGTGGTGGAGCTGTCCAGGAGCCTCTCTTTAGGCCAGGCTGTCAAGATTAATGAAATAATTCAGACAGACATTAAGGAGTCTTTACTCATCTGATGTACTGGGTTTGCAGGTCCCAGCTCTGGGGTTGTACAGGAATATTTCAGAGACTGGAAGCTGGCTTGCAGGACAGAAATATGTGGGAGAGGAAGGTGCAGGAGGGAAAGTAAAGTGGATAAAGTAACAGCTGTGTGAAAGCAGTCATACAAGGTCGGACAAAAGTTCTGCATTGTTCAGTAGCCAGCAGCTGCCAAATAACAGATACCTACAAAAAAACCCCAACTTGCTGAGTAAGTATTTCATAGTTTCTGTATCTCTGAATTTTTTTTTTTTCAAATTTTTGGGTTGGCACACAGTATATTTGTGTTTAATAACTCTTGGTGGATTTTTCTTCATAAATGTCACTTTTAAGCCTTGCACGTTGTTCTATGTTAGTAAATTGCTCCATTTTTGTAGAAATACCTAAGTTCATAAATTCCCATGTTCTTAACACATTTTTATTGTTCCTTTATTTTCTTCTTATTATCCTTTTTCTGCTGGAAAAGCAGAAAAAAATCTCTAGAAAAACTTTTTAAAACAGAAAATGTTATCTTTTAAAAAAACCTTTTTAATGAAAAAGGAAATGTCATCTATTTCTAATATGGGGGATCTATATCTCAGTGTGTACCATCTCTGCAGAGGAATCACATGTGTTCCATTGCAGATGTGGAACAATCAAGGAGGAGTTCCAGGTACTTAGGTCCTTCAGGTTATTAGAAGCTGCTGATCATCAGAAGGAAACCAAAACACTGTATATCATGAGTACTAGAGAGGGAAGAAGCTGTGTAGCTGTACTGTAGGTGGGACAGTAATTAGCAGGCCAGAAGGGTTAAGATCAGGAGGCACAGGATCAGGGGCTGATGAAAACAGAGCCTGGCAACAAATGGAAAGAGGAGTAGATGAAGATGTGGGTTGGAGGAGAGGGAAAGGTGTTGGAATAAGAGGTGAGGACCTGGAGGAAAGCTAAAGGATTTCTAGGGTCTAGAGGTCAGCTCAATGAAAGCAAAAGAGGACCTATTAGCTAAAGTGTATAACAAAGAAAGGAAAAGTAACACAGAAGACAGCAAGAAGGGAATGGACTTAAGGTCAGAAGCTGAGTGAAAAAGATGGGTAAATGGAAGCTGGATGGAATAGTAATCAGAAAGAGTCCTACAAAAACTGAAATTGTGTGTGCTTTTGGCTGTGTTGAGGGTCTCTGGAAATTTGTTTCTTTGTATGTTTGATATCTTTAGTGAGAAAAATCAATTGGGTATTTCTCATTTTGAAACTGTTTCTATATTTACTGTGCCTGCTCGTGAAGAGCAGGTCTGTGGAAATTCTAACTAGTTTTGCACTTCTGAGGGAAGGCTGTGGCACTGCTGTAGTTTAAGGTTTGGATATCACTGGTTAATAAAGGTCTGTCAGTCTATTTAAGAGCCTGCAGACCACGTACAGAAATGTATGAAGACCTCAGAAATTATTTATGGCCCATTTACAACATAAATAGCTAAGCTGTCAACTATGATTGTAAAGCTCTTCGTCTACTTCTGCGCCGTGCTTTTCATTTAATCTGGCTTTGTTCAGCTAAACAATTCATAATTAAAATCGGAAATGATGGAAACTTAGAAATAAACCAATCCTGTTGTCACCATTTGACTCAGGTCCGACAACAATGCTCTCGATCCCCTCCCCCCCCACCCACATAGGGAAGGAGAGAGAGAAAAAGAGAGAGACTTGGCTGGATTGAAAACTAAACTACACAGCTTTAATTAAACACTAATGAATGATACAAGAAAATATATACAATTATATACAGATATATTCAGGTATGGGCAAAAGCCTCTCGCCTCCCCCCACCCCAGCAACTCTCACAGCACTTCCCTGAACTGGGAAGAGTCCCAAGGAATCCCGGAGCTGCTGCTGGAAAAGAGCAGAGAGATGAGAGTCAGGAGATCTCGAGCCTAAGGGTCGACGGTGATGGATGAACAGAGTCCTCCCCGGATGCCGGCCATGGATGGAAGAGAGGGGAGAAGAAAGAGGAAGGAAGTTGTCTTCTGTGATCTCTGACCTTCCTTTGAGCTTACGTAGATATATGGAATGGAATATCTTTGGCCAGTTTTGCTGTCTGTCTAACTCAGCCTCCTACGGGGGGGTCACAGATCTCCCCATAGTGTCTGAGCCGGCAGAGTGAAGGTGCGACCTTGAAGCCTCAGTAGTTAGAAAAACATTCCACTGTCTTATCAACCTAGCAGAACACACTGTTGCTAGTTACAAGAAAGCTTACTGAAGGAAAAAAAAATCAGTAAAAAGAAAAATTGGCTTCATCCTGGCTCAAACCAGGACATTCCACCCCTATTCCATACCATATATTACATACAGGATCTATACCTTACCAGCTGTCAAATTAAGGATTCTCTCCCAAAGTCAGATTACCTTGAGGTACATATTGTACTTCACCATCTTCCATCATTACACACCAGGTATGTCCAGGTCCCTGAGCAAAAGCAATACCCCTGACAGGTTTACCTTTGCCTGAAGCAGGATAGACCCAAACACTTTTACCCAGCAGGTTTCTTTCACATATCACAGGGACTTTATCCCCATCTGCAGTATGCAGAAGGTCTGACTGGGCAGGACCAGCCCGATTGATGGATCCCCTGGTATTAACTAGCCAGGTGGCCTTTCCCAAATTCTTGTCCCAGTTTTCGAAAGTTCCATCACCCATTGCCTTCAGGGTAGCCTTCAACAAACCATTGTACCTTTCATCTTTCCCTGAGGCTTGTGCATAGTATGGGATATGGTAGATCCACTCAATACCATGCTCTTTAGCCCAGTCAGTGACAAGACTGTTTTTGAAATGAGTCCCATTGTCTGACTCAATTCTCTTTGGAGTACCATGTCTCCACAAAATTTGCTTCTCAAGACCCAGGATAGTATTCCTGGCTGTGGCATGAGGCACAGGATATGTCTCCAACCATCCTGGTTGTTGACTGGTGCAACCTTCTTCTTGGAAGAACCGTCTCCTGGCCTTGTTCTGTTCAGTAGCTCTTGCACACGTAACTGGAGAATATCAGTGGGTTTCTGCATCTCCTCGTTCTTCTGTAAGTTGGTTTCGTTGCTGCCCGGATCCTGCGGCTGCTCGTTTCTGCCAGCGGTTTGGGAGCGAAGGGACATTTGTGGACTTTGGGGATTCAACTTGGAGGGGGTACAAGGCCCAGGAGGAGGCCCAGTTTTCAGAACTGTTTCTTCCTCCTCTGGCACCTCTCCAGAGCTAGAGGCTTCCACACAACTGGAGGACACAGATGACTTCCTAGCTGCCCTACTGGTCACAGATCTCCGGAGCATGCTTTCCCTCTTGGTGACAAGGGAGCATTTCTCCAGCAGGGAGGTTCTGCGAGTCAGGGAAGTTCTGCCCATCAGGCTCCTGCGCACGGAGCGGCGGCTCAGCCTGGAGCCTGTCAGAGTCGCAGGGGGGTCCCTTAGGTGCTGGGGAGGCTCCTTACCAGCCCCCTCTGGTACCTGAGCAGGGTCACCTGCTTCCTCCAGCCCAGACTCTTCACTTATAATGAAAGTGGCATTTGCTGCCTGGGCTGCCTTCAGTCCAGCCTCGCCTTCTCCCGCGTCCTCTGCCCTGGGGGTGTCAGGGACCGTCAGCCCAGAGGCTGCAGGTGCAGCTGGAGATTTAGCCACACTGCTTTCCTGGGGAGGGCTTGAGGGGGTGGTCATGGAGAGCTCCTCTGCTGGTTTGGAGGTGCTCTTCTGGAGGTGCAGCTCAGCACTAATGCAATCACCAACAGTGATTCCTACGAGGGAACCTGCCTTTCCCCTTGCTGGGCAGCAAGAGCCTTGGGAAGGAGCTCTGAGCTCTTAGCAGAGGTTGCAGCCTGTGACCTTGTCACAGGTCGAGGAGGAGAGACCTGTTTAATCTCAGGTATCATGAGTTCCAGATTTGCTTTATTCTGGACTCTCTGAGAACGCTGCAAGTATGCTCTTGTGGAGGGTCTCAGTCTGAGGCTGCTCTTCCTCCTCCTGGATAACCGCTTCCTGCCGGGCTGCGGGCTCTCCTCCTGCAGGACGGACAGCCGCTTCCTCCGCTGCCGGTTCTTCTGCGACGGCGCCTTGGGCATCAGCTCCGGCTCCTCGCTGTTGCTGCTGCTGAACATGCGGGGCCGCCTCCTCGCCGATCTCCGCCAGCCATACCAGGTGCGTGTCGTCCACCTGCCGCAGGTACTGGGCCAGCCGCCGGTCGCACTCGGTGGGCACCAGCTCCAGCCCCGCCAGCTCCAGAAACCAACAGTCCCTAAAAAGGTTTGAGTGTCCTTTTTAGTTGATGGTGGGGCCATATCTGTTACTTTGTTAATCACATCCATTGGGATCTGGTGACGACCATCTTGCCACTTGATTCCCAGGAACTGGATCTCTTGCAAAGGTCCCTTGACTTTGCTCCTTTTCATAGCAAAACCAGCATCCAGAAGAATTTGGATGATCTTTTTACCTTTCTCAAACACTTCTTCTGATGTGTCACCCCACACAATGATGTCATCAATGTACTGCAGGTGTTCTGGAGCTCCACCCTTCTCCAGTGCAGC